ATACTGAAGTTCCACCTAAGATTTCATTTGGGGAAGAGGAAATCCATGATCCAAACATACTGTAACTATATTATCAAAATTCTAATTTTCTGAGCCTCCTGTAACTCCCTAGCCTCTTCCTTTAAATAGAGTTCCCAGCCAGAAACTCATACCTAATTTTTTTTCTGAAGGGGTTCACGTTATTTCCTCTTGCCAGGTTATTGTTATGTCCACCTAATTAGCATCTCTGTTCCTCCTGTCACCCAATCCTCATAGTTTTTCGGCTATTTGGTTCTTTTCTTAAAACTCAAGGTGATCATGTCATGCTTCACCTTGAAATCTTTTTATGGCTTTCCATCTCCAGGCAGTGTTTTATTACCCAAACGATTCGAAGAGTATTTACTAGAAGGCTAAATTAACTGTGAAACACTGAGCTCAACACATTTACTTTTTTAACTGCAGAACTTATGAGAGTGTTTCCCAAAGCATCTTACCACGGCCCCTTTTTCTGCCACTACACATCCCTGGGAATTAGAACGGTGGAGTCAGTCTACCTGAATTTGAGCCAGTCCAGTGACTACACTGTGGTCTCCCCATCCATAAAATGGGGACAGCAAGAGTAGCCACCTGACAGACTTGTTAGAAAAATTAAATGAGATGATCTATGAAAAGCGCTCTGCACAACACGTGGTACATTAAAATGTGGTGATTATTTTAATTATTTTTGTGACACATTTTAGAAACAATGTTCTACTGGATCTAGTTAAAACTCCTTAGCCAGGTACATCAAACCCTTCAAAAGCAGACTCCACCTACCTACCCACACTCCTATCCTCCCTCCATGACCCTTAAATGAGATGATCTATGAAAAGCGCTCTGCACAACACGTGGTACATTAAAATGTGGTGATTATTTTAATTATTTTTGTGACACATTTTAGAAACAATGTTCTACTGGATCTAGTTAAAACTCCTTAGCCAGGTACATCAAACCCTTCAAAAGCAGACTCCACCTACCTACCCACACTCCTATCCTCCCCTCCATGACCCCTACAAACACACACACACACACACACACACACACACACACACACACAGAGATCTGTGCAAACTGCACTCTGCCCTTCCCTGAAAATTCCATGTTCTTTCCTGTTTCTGTACCTCGGCACAGGCTGTTCTCTTTGTTTTGTTTCTTGTTTTTCCTATTCTCCCAACTCCAGGGTTTCTGGGAGCAGGGACTCTGTCATATTCTGCTTCCCCAGGGGATGACTGTGTCTGCTAACTAAGCCAGGCCTGGGCACTCTGGATGCCATATGACAGCACAGCTGTGCATTCAAAACCAAATTTGACCCTGAAAACGTTTAGCATATCAGTTCAGGGATTTCTGAGCACGAGCCACCTGTTCCCTTTGCTTGGCCCTGCAATAAACCTTTCTTTGCTCCAAACTCGGACGTTTCGGTTTGTTTGGCCTCACTGTGCATCGAGCACATGAACCTGCATTCAGTAACAGGAGGATAAAGTCATGCAGGACATGGTCAAATACTAGCAGAGAGTCAACTGAGACCTCTGGTGACCCAAGGTGACTCAGGATGACATTTCATTTTGTTGGAAGAGGAATATGTGTTTAACACTGAAACATGTATACCTTTCAATTAATGTTTGCATATAATATTTGTTTAAGAAATCAGTTTATTACATTAAAAAAAGAGTTTACCATATGGACACATGTCATTATACGTTTGTCAAAATCCACAAAATGTACACCACCAAGAGTGAACCCTAACCTACACTATGGACTTTGAGCAAATGATGTGTTAATGTGGGTTCACTGACTGTACAGATGGACCACTCTGGTGCGGAGTGTCGACAGTGGGGGTGCCTGGTGGGGAGGGGACAGGAGGTATAAGGGACTCTCTGTGCTTTCCACTCAATTTTGCTATAAACCTAAAACTGCCTCAAAAAATACAATTTTTTTTTTTTTTTGGCCACACCGTGCATCTTATGGGATCTTAGTTCCCCAATCAGGGATGGAGCCTGTGTCCTGCAATGGAAGCATGGAGTCCTAAGCACTGGACTGCCAGGGAATTCCCTACAATCTATTTTTAAGTTATCTAATAAAACATAAATTGTAATTAACATAGATCAAAAATTAAATCAAAATTAATTTTCCTTTCCTAATATAAATCTACTGTCAAGTTTAGGGTACACCTAAACTACAGAACACTTCTAATGGCAGAGCCAAATATTCACCACACTCTACTTTCCAAAACTTCATAAAGACTAAACAATTCATTGTATCTTAGATGAATTTTTTCTTTCTTTTCTAAAGCACCATCAGCCCTATCTGAAAAATGACCCACATACAAAGTCAAGTGAGTGTGGCAGACCCTGTGTTCACAACCTCCCCTCTGCTCTTGGGTGGGGCATGCATTCCTCCTTGGGGTGTGTTTGGGCAAATGAAGAACAAAGTATTACATTGCTCTATCTCATCCTTCAATTCAAGAGGACTTTCTATAGGACTGTTTCACAAAAGGCCAATACCTTCAATGTGATCTGTCACAGAATGAAAGCATAAAACCAAAAAAGAAAGTGATTTGTTCTAATGTGGATGCACCTGTTTAGAGCATGTCAAAATAAAGCCAACATTAAACGCAAACCCCATCTTAGCATTAGAAGATCAATCACCCTGCAACACACACTTGACAGTAGAATCTGGACTTCACTGCTTTGTCCTTTGTGACGACCCAGTTGTGGGATAATCCAGGGTTGACCTTTGCCCTCTCACTGAGAGAAACAATACTCTGTTGAAACTTTATTATTATTATCATACACATCTCCAGACACCCGTCACTTTGCACCTTACACTCTGGCTTTACCTGGTGATTCACAGAGATGCCTTCTCCCCATGCCCAGAATGACCTGCCTTCTTTTCCACCTACTGAACTCCTGGGCATCCTTCAAGTCCCTGTTCAAAATGCGAGGGCTCTGTTCATATTTCACTGAGGCTTCCTCTCCCCTAGCTAGGGCTGCGGTGTTCAGTGGAGCAGGCCGTGCACTGCACAACTCTAAGGAGAGCCACTGCCTTTCAGGCCAGCACCTGCATTGCATTTAGTGTGGATCACATTCAGTCTTAGCTGGTTTTTACATGCTGGATTCCTCTATTAGTCTGTGCATATCTTGAAGGAAAAATTACAACTTATTTATCTTAGTTTCACCAAGTCCCAAAACAGTGTCTGGAACATTGCAGTTGTTCAGTATTTTCTTTAATGAAAAAATGTTTTTCAAAACTCTCAAATTGGAACAATTATACATTATTAGACACAGCCCTATGCATTTGCCATACTATATCTCTTCTAATATTTACAACAGCCCTGTAAGGTAAGTGAGGTGAGTATCACTATTCCCATTTTATTGCTGAGAAAACTGATTTCCAGAGAAGTTCAATAACTTTTCCAAGGTTACCTAGTAAGTGACAGAACCATAACTTGACTCAAGTTTAAGACTCCAAAGCCTGCACTTATAACTACTTAACCACATACTATACTGAATCTAATGCATGCAAAGAATATTTAGTTGTTCTCATTTAAGTTACTGGGAATATTCAAAAGTAAAACCACTGCATATATTTTCAAATGATCTATAATGAAAATTTTTATGAGAATTTAGACCAGCCTCTTGGCCAACTGACGACAGCATTAAGGTTTTTCCTTTATGCCAATACACACGCATATGTTTAAATATGTGCACCCTAATGTGCTACCAAGAAGCAAAAAAGAGCCAACTATCAACCAAGGTCAGAACATTTCACATGTGTATTGTGCCAGCTACCAAGCTACATGTACCTGTTGGGCAGGACAGTCTCCTCCGCAGGAAGATAAATGTCAAAGGAAGGCCTGAACACTGAAACCAAAGTATAAACACGAAAACCAGTAGGAAACAGAAGTGCTCCGGTGAAACAGTCCCCCAGAGGATAAGAGGCAGCCTGTGGAAGATGCCAAGCGGAGAGGAAGACCTTCCTTGACCCCCCAACTCCTTTGTGCAAATGGAAAGAGGGTGGATCCTGAGAGGTGAGCAAAGAGATCAAATAAGATCACTTTCAATAGGGACCACTCCCCTCTTCTGCATCAGCCTGAGAACTGGGCAATGGTGTCACAGGGCCCAGGACAATCACAGAGCTCTTCCTTGCCCTCGGGAAGGCTTGACTCTCAGGGCTCTGCCGTCATTTCAGCACTGGCAACCTTTCAACCACACCCCCTTACCTACCAGCCCATGTGCCACATGCGATATGCTCCCAAGACACAAATGCTTGAGGGGGTTTCTCTCAAAAGTCCCTTGTCCTAAATGTCTGTAGGACTGAAAAAAAAAAAAAGCAGGGCTTGCTGGTTACAAAGGGCACATTGCTCTAAGAATCTCTTCTAAAGAGAGATAACGTGACTATCTTAATGGTGAACCCTGGGTTTGCTTAAAGCCCAAAGAAAACAAGGTCATGAGGAATCTTATAAGGGACAAAACCCCCATTTTACAAGCTCCCACAAAAAAAGCCTCGCTGGTCATGCTCACTTTAAATGCTCTTTCTTTTTTTTTCCTCTTTTCCCTCTTTGAAGAGGAAAATATGGAAACAAACAAACAAACAAAAAGCAGCTGCATCCACCGCTTATGTGGTTTTCTCCTTGATATGCAGCCAGAGTGCCAAAACCCCAGCTACCCACTTGATTGTTTTAAAGAGAGTAAATGGCTTTGGGGAGGACAGTCTCATTACAACCTCTCCATGGGCTGAAAGCAAAGGGGAGCTGCCACCCCCAGCCCGTGCCCCGTGCAAACTCTAGGGGGTGTCCCTGCTTCTCACAACATCAGAGCAGGTCTCTGCATCCACTGAAAGGTGTTAAGATCTAGGCCATGCTAAGAATAACAGGACACTTCGAAACCAGGCTGAGGCTGAAAAGCCTTGCAGGTGCCAAGAGAAGGCGGCTGGTCCCTGGGGTTGAGCTCTGGCGCATCCACCCACCACGCTTGCACCCTTACCTCCCGCAGCTCCAGCCTCTGGGCCACCGCCTCCAGGCACTCCTGCCCCGTGCTCTCCACAGACAGCGTGCACTCGATAACGTTGCTGTCCAACAGGCGGATGCGGGTGACAAAGCAGTTCTTGCTCAGGACGTTGTAGCGCCGGGTCCGGCGGAGCTTCAGGCCGAAAGGCATGGCTCTATGGCCCTCGGATGCTGCCCTCCTGTCCTGACGCCCACGCCCCTGAGACGGCCTTAGCAGCTTTGTGACTGGGCGATGACACTAGCACCCGTGCTCCTCCAAGTGCGGAAAAAGGCGTCCATGCCCAGCGTGGCGCTCTGGAGGGTCGCTGCAAACAGAAAAGCAGCAAGTCATCACCTGGAAGGGAAGCTCCAGGCGGTACATATTCCACACACACAAGCACATGACCCCGATAGATGAATGTCCAGATTCAAGAGCCAGCATACTCTGTTGCTCCCAAGCGCCTTGGTCTAACCCGTGCACTTGACCTTACCTTACAAGGGTGATACGATAAGATCCACTTTATGGCTAAAGTAACTGATGCTCAGAGCGAGTAAAAGAACTCATCTAAGAATGCACGCGGCAAAGCCTGCATTCACACCAGTGTCTATGCGACTTCGATTCACATGCTTTTTTTTCATTGTACAAGCCTGTCTGTTCAAGAAAGCAGGAGTAGAATTTGAACTTTTTTTTTTAACTTCTAAATATATTATCTCATTTCAGCCTCATTAACAACCCTCTGGGTGTCGATTGTACGATCCCTATTCTAGAGATGAAAAAAGTGGGGTTCAATGATTTAAGCAATTCCCTGATCCTGAACTTAAAATCTTATCTTATTCCTCATTCTTTGCAACACTGCCTCTTTACTTCCATTAATATTATTTCCGTTTAATTTTTTTTTTTAAATTAAAAGGCCTCTCTCTGTTGCGGCCTCTCCCGCCGCGGAACACAGGCTCCGGACGCGCAGGCCCAGCAGCCATGGCTCACGGGCCCAGCCGCTCCGCGGCATGTGGGATCTTCCCGGACCAGGGCACGAACCCGTGTCCCCTGCATCGGCAGGCGGACTCAACCACTGTGCCACCAGGGAAGCCCTTACTTTAATATTTATACTTATTTTCTTATTTACTTTATCTTCTTATTTACTTTATTACTGGATGATAGAAAATGGAGTGAATATGCATTTAATTATTAACTAATTATAAATTAGTTATTAATGATTAACTACTCAGCAACTTTCTTTTTTCAAAAAAAAATTAATACATAAATTTTTTAATGCGCTTAAAATCACAACTCTATCCTTTTTTCACCAGATATTTAGACAGATGTAGGGAACCACCCTACAGTCATTTTGTCCCTTTACAGAATTCTTGATGCAAGATTACGGATAATTTAACTTACTAATAACAAGATTTACTGACACCCGGATGTCCCACCAAATGGCAGCGATGACATTACTGCCACGGACAACACGAGAACAAAATAACAACAGTAAAAGCGGCTTTACCATTCCGCCCTGTGCCAGCAATTCTCTCACTGGGAGGCTCTTTAAGCTCATCTTCCAAAGAAGCCAGAAATGCCCACACGGTCTCTCTGTTCAACTTTCCGTTCTCCATGAAGTGCAAAGGACTATCTCTTGCTCATATGATTGTTCTGTTAATTTGATTCCCTAAGTCAGGCAGCCTTTATGCCCTTTATCCACAGAATTACCTCTGAGCCCCCTGACACTTGGATAGACAAACAGAAATAATTACTTGTAGGAATTCTTGCATTAATAAGTAAAATGGCTTCAATATTTAGAAATCACTCCTTGTCAGTACCTCCCGGCCTCACAGAGGTTGTCAGGACACAACCCTACGACACAGTAAAACACACTCCTGAGACTCCCTCGGCCATTCTTTGATGCCTGCCCTCGGCACATTCCTTAGCGTGACAGGTACGTGTTTTATGATGGCTTAAAATACATATGCTAGAGACTTGGGCTTGGTAAAATAGATTAACATTTCTAAATCACTTTATGTTGGCAGAGTATCATGTTTACCTGCAAGGTAGGCCAACCTGATGATCTCCTGGTATCTGCAGAAAAAAATATGGAGGGACCCACCCAGAAAAGAAAAACAAAAGAGTATCAGAATTTAAATACAGAGTCCTTAAGAGTTTACTACTCCCACATTCCATCAACTTGCTAAAGATTCAACTCCTATATTAGCTAGAGAGCCTCAAAGAGAGAAAAATATTTGCTCTGTGGGCACAAGTCACATTTCTCATCCTGGGCCGGGTACTTTACATTTGGGTGTGTCTCGCCTTGAACACCTAGGAAGGAATGTGGCTGGCTTGGTACACTTTTATCCCAGGCACTACTAAACACAATCTCAGCTACATATTTGACAGGACACAATCCACAATGCAGTTAGTGAGATAAAAAGTAAACCGCACAACAATGTGTACAGATGATCAGTTTTTATAATAAATAAATAAGTGGGAAAAAAATATATAACTTCACCAAAATGATTGTTATCTCAGGGCTACATGGTGATGGTATCAAACGGAACTCTTATTTTATATTTCATATATAGTCATCCCTCTGTATCCGCAGGGGATTGGTTCCAGGATCCCAGCAGATACCAAAATTCGAGGACGCTCAAGTCTCTTATATAAAATGGCATAGTGTTTGCAAAGAACCTATCTCGTATACTTTAATTCACCTCTAGATTACTTATAATACCTAATACAATGTAAATGCTATGTAAATAGTTGGCCAGCTTGGCAAATTCAAGTTTTGCTTTTTGGAACTTTGTGGAATTTTGTTTTAAAAAATATTTTCAGTCCAAGGTTGGTTGAATCCGCAGATGCAGAACCTGTGGATACAAAGGGCCAACTGTATTTCTGAATTGTTCTAACATTTTACAATTGCCTTATTTTTGTAAATAAAGATTCTTTTAAAATATATTAGCTACAGAAAATGATATATATCAGGTGCAACATCTGACAATCTGGCAACATATCTCCTAGAAAATACCTATTTCAGGTTTAAAGAACTTCTAAAATCTTCAATTTGCAAGACACTTGCCAGGTAAAGTGTCAACAAAAAGGTTATAAGAAAACTGGTCTGGTCCCTCTAAAAGTCAGTGTCCGGAAACAAGAGCTGAACAGGAGGGATTGGAGGCAGGTTGGTCTAGAGTAAGAGAAATTCCGGAGTTATAAAAGCAAAATGCAATGTGTGAGCCTTAAGCAAACCCAGGTTGGAAAAAATAGTTATCAAACACATGAGACCATCAGGGAAATCTGAAATAGAGAGTAGAAATGAGATGATGCGAACATATCATGGTTAATTTTCTTCTGTTTTTAATAGTGGAATTGTGGTTACGTAGGAGAATGGCTTTAGGAGATGCCAGTGGATATATTTAGGGGTAAAAAGACACTCACGTGATGAGAGCAGGGAGAACTGCAATTGAGCTGAGCGGTTCTCTCTAAGAGCCAAAGTTTAATCTCAGAGAACAGAACATTCACAAACCTTGGTGTGAGAACTGGATTCACCCAGAGAGGCCTGGAGTGAGTGCCCAGTTACTAATCCTCAGTTTACTCATCTGGAAAGATAACCTCAGCCTCAGTCTACTCATCTGGAAAGATAACCCCTACCCCAAGTTTGTGAGGCGTTAATGAGAAAATGTTTCCGGGGTGCACTCAGTAAGTGTGGGCGTGTTCCCTTCCTATGCCCCTCACAGTGAGATGGCTTTGCTCAAAGGATAGCAGAGCAGGTGTGAAAAGGACTTGAGTACCTTGCCACCTACTGTGGACAAAGCCTTTTAAATAGAAAAAAGGCAAAACAAAGAATATTGAGTTTAACATGAAACAATGACAATTCCACAGGGAAACTTGACCAAGTGTAAAACGAACCATGGACTCTCCCAGAACTGCTACCTTGTCATTCCCCCAACTGACATCTGGAGCAGAAAGGAACTGGTCATTCGACGAAATGTCCCATTACGAGCCCATTCTCAGTGGGTGAGAAGACTGTAGCCTTCTCCTTAATCCCTTATTTCAGTCAATAACATGTGTATAGTGTCTGGTGTCAGCAACTGGCTTTTTGGGGTTGTTTTTTTTTTTGGTAGAAGACTGATTCTAAACTGCCTTTGGGGGACTTCCCTGGAGGTCCAGTGGTTAAGATTCCATGCTCCCAGTGCAGGGGGCCTGGGTTCAATCCCTGGTCAGGGAACTAAGAGCCCGCAAGCCGCAACTAAGACCCAGTGCAGCCAAATAAATACATTAATTAAAAATAAATAAATACATAAACTGCCTTCGGTCCTATAATCCACTAGGCTGTGTCTCTACAGCTGCTAGCGTATCCCAGTCTCTCTCACACTGAAGAATCGCCCATAGGTGTCTTTGTTCCCAAATAGAATCCTGAGGGGAAAGATCTGTGTCAGATTCTCTGTCAGATTCAGCTCTGTGGTCTCCTGTGACCCTAAAGTGGAGCTTGGTACATGGCAGAAAGCTAAATAAATATTTGTTGTTACAATGAAAGAAAGAATGAATCCTAAAAATAGTTGAGATTTCAAAACCAAGGTAGGACAGGGGCCTCCAGGTGACCCCAGTGAAACTTGAGGAATCTGAAGCCTCAGATAGGACTGACTTGGAGGCGCTTAAGAGAAGCTTAAAACTGTGGAGAAATGGGATGAGAAGTTATTCAGCTCACTGGTGCTTTTGGGGGAAAAATTTTTACCCAGATTTTGAAAAGAACATTCCCACCACCCAAGTTTCCCTTCTCCAGCCCTTAATGTGCCTTGTCCTGGGGGTGGTCTCGAAGACTAGAGAGATGCCATATTCCCTGGAAGTTCTGTGCGAAAACTACACAACTACCGACTGGATAGTATTCTAGTGCGCCCATGACTGCCGAAAGCAATTTGTTGGGATATTTGCTGGGTAAACACCACACTTAAAGGCCTTTAATGGAATAGGCAACAGTGAGAGAGAACCTACAGAAAGCTTCAAAGTCACTTATAAAACCCTCTCTTGACTAGCCCATCAGATTCCCCAAACCTCTAATATGTATATATCCATCTTTGACTATCAGCTGTGAATTTCCAGTACCTTGTACTCTTCTTTTTCCTAAACATATCAACAAAAACCCTGCAAGTTGAAAACACAAAGCAAAGACAGCTTTCTCATAATACAGAAAAAAGTGTTTGGCTGGTTTAATAAATCTTTAAATAAGCTGGGTTAAAAGTAGAGAGATCTTTCATAATGTCAACCAAATACAGCTTAATCTTCTTTATTGATTTACCTGTACAGTCTTGAGAAAAATGAAAGACAGAAATTAAAACCCAAATC